AATCAAGTAACTCACCAGCAAATTTTCAACCTTTAGCAGCACCTTGTTCTGGCAATACTTGATCATTGAAGCACCTGCAGACTTTGTGATTCTCATGTGTTCTTTGATGATGGTTGCATCCTCCTTAACAGTACGAATCGTAGATTCGTTGACTCCATGCTGGCGCGCGAGATCAGCTTGACGTGTTCCTTTCTCCAAATCTTGAATGATCTTGTATTTCACTTTGTAGCTTAGGGAACGTCGTATCTTCTTTGGCTTAGGGCGGCTGGGTCCAGGTAAGGAGAGGTTTCTCTCTGGGGGCGGTGGTCCGACGGAAGCCATTTTACAGAACAATGGATTCACGTATACACGGTGTGGCCTGGAGGGATGAAACTGCCACAGCTAGGTCAAGCGTCGTCTTTCCTCCCTCCCTCTCGCGGGTGGACACGTCATATTACTTTAAACCAATCACAGCTAGCAGCGGAGGGAGGTAAGGATGCATGGCGCAATCACAGTCCGATACGTCATATGACGTCACTGATAACGCAACAGAGACATGCACTGCACAACCTTACCGCGCGGCTTGCCCAGGCGGTAGAAGGCGGGATGGTCGAATCTAAAAATAGCATCGAGCCAGACACTCTGCACGTATATGGGTAGATGCACCGCAGAAAGTGAAAGTCCGGTTCTGGCGAGGCACCGCGTAAATGAGAAATCGCGGAAAGTGAAACCGCGTAAAGCGGGGTAGTACTGTATGTATGTATGTATGTATGTATGTATGTATATATATATATATATATATATATATATATATATATATATATATATATATATATATATATATATATATATATATATATATATATATATATATATATATAATAATAATAATAATAATAATAATAATAATAATAATAATATTTCATAGGTCTAGGTCGTGTTTCTCGTTTTTTATCTTTTTTCATTCTTGTATTTCTTTATTATTATTTTGTTAATGCAGCATTATGGTTATTATTATTATTATAAATTTTATTATTATATTATATTATTATTATTTTTATTGTCATTATTATTTTATTTTGGTGTATTTTTTAATTAAAAATTTTATTTACTATACAGTAATTATTATTATTATAATTAGTATTACTATTACATTTTCGCCCCCCAGGCCCCGATGTGGGTCAGTGATCTATGCCTGGGTGGGCTAATCCCTGTCTAAAAAATAAAAATAAAAAAAATAAATTAATTAATAAATTGCTCCACAAAAAACTTTCGGTTTTCAGAACTTTTTGGTTTTCGGAATTTCGGATAAAGGGTTGTCAACCTGTAGTAGTTCTGTACGGTATACGTTAATGCCAACCTTGAATAAATTCCTAGTATTAGAACATATCCTCAGATTTTTTAATGTAATAACTTAGTAATTTCTAAGATCATACTATACTTTTCAAATTTATAAATTAACACACTAATTCATTATAAATATAAGTACAGTACTGTACCTGTATTTCCAATTACAGTAATATTAATAGATTGGTCTCCTGGAAATATCAAGTAACTTGATAGTTTACGATTCATAAATGTTTGACAAATCAATCTGTAATTTTATATTAATAATTGTGAAGGTCTCGTTGATGTTTGAGCCATTTCTGTGGGTATGTATTGGAAAAATCAGGTAATGTCTTCTACCAGCCTTCTTATACACACCTTCCGGTTACCCATAAGGTGGGAGCTACTACATCAATTGCCAAGTGTTTCTCGCAAAGCTATGACTTTGTCACTGTTTTTAATGCACTACATTCAAGCTTATTTTTACTAGTTCTATGTGAATCAAAGTGGCCCCCAAGCATTATATGCAGCCTTCTGGTGATGCTGAAGCTAACAAGTGAAGAAGATAAAGTTTCACTTTAGTGTTAAAGATGGATTCTTAAATACCCACCATGTCACCACAGGTGGCTGCCACCTGAGAGGTAGGAGTCATCTTAATCACCGAATCTCTTGCTCTGTGCACCAAGTGTTATAACTCACATGCTGTGTTTGTGCATTTTGTGTACTGTACTAGTTGTAGGTGTATCATAAAGGCTCCCAAGTGGGAGTCCACACCAAAGGCCAACTGCATCAGAACAACCAACTGCTGTGTAAACTACCATGCCTACTCATTGCCTTGACCACCATTTGCTACCTGCACCATCCATCACTACCTCCAATGTAGTCATGTTCTAAATTTACTGTAGTGTAGATCTTACATACTGCCAACTACACTCCTTCTTTGAGAACTTACAATAAGTTTCAGAATTTGGTACACTGTATTTGCAGTCCCTTATAAGATGACAGGCCTATGGAACCCAATTTCACTTGAGTGTAAATCATCCTATTTCCTTTTGAATGTGCATGTTACCTTCCTTTACAAGACTTTATTTATTTTTAAAAACTCATGTTAAGGGAGGGATCATTCACTTTTTCAAGGCACCCACATTTAAACCCCCCTATTTCACACAAGATGCTAATATAACTTATACTCTTGCCATGATAACCTGGCCCATAGGCCATGCCCCTCTTCTATACTAATAATTGACTGGTTCATAGAAAATTCAAACTAATTGTGTTCACAATTGGTAAGCACACCTGTTATTATCTAAAATAAGGTTAAATATCTGAACTATCAAAATGCAAATCATTTCAAGGCATTAGCACTTAAGAGTGGATGTTAGAAAATGTCAAATATTTAGTATAAAAGCTCAATATAAATACGATCTTATATATGCGCAGTCCAGGGTAGGCAAAAGGCTCAGGGAACCAATCAGCTATTTGTGGCTATGGATGAGGGGTGATTTCCATTATGTATAACATTTCAGCAACTGCAGTTTTGTGCAAGATTATATCATACCAACAAACTGCACTTTGCCTAAAAAATAATTAATACCAGGTAAATAATTTTTTGTTACCCATGCCTTAGATACTGATGGGCTATAGGAGTGAGGCAGAGAAAATCCAATTACATACTGTTGTCCCCAAAACAAATGCATTTTAAGTCTTAAGAGCTGTAATCAAGACAGCAGGTACTACCCGGTAATGAGGCAATAAACACAGCAAACTTACCAAGAATTCACTATACTGTACACAGAAACTTAATTTACACTTTTATCTTCTTCAAAACGCACAGTAAACAGGGAGGGCTTTTCATCTTGGTATGGCCATTTTAACAACGTACAGTAATTTGAACGCTACCGACCAACCCACAAGGACACTAAAAGCAGTCCTAGACTCTGTTATATTTCACACAAAGCCTGTTCATCGAGTGCCATCAGTTCGATGAACAGGCTGTGAAGTGAACAATAAACATTTAATCCCAGTGTGGGGTTGATTCTGGTTTGAAATTAGTTGATTTATATATATATATATACGTATATATATATATATATATATATATATATATATATATATATATATATATATATATATATATATATATATATATATATATATATATATATATATATATATATATATATATATATATATATATATATATATATATATATATATATATATATATATATATATATATATATATATATATATATATACATACAGGTTAGTAATAAAAGAAACATTAAACAAAATTCTACACAAACATTTCCACTTATGTTGTCTGAATGAGAATTACCTGGTATTGTACTTACCCCAAATGAGATTACATGTCCACAAAGCCCCAGGCAAAAGTTCTCATCATTCCAAGCAACTTCAAATTGCTCCTGTTAACAAAACCTATTCTGGCTCATTAGACCTGAAGCACTGAAGAGCTTGTGTAATAATAGTACAACTAATTAAACCCCCAAAAAAGTTAATAAGATAAAGTATTACCATGAAAATACTACAAAATCACTTGCCCTAATAACAACAGTAACTCACAACTCAAGTTTATCATAATGACCAATAAGAGATTATGAATTATTTTGTATTGATTTACCTTACAGTGAGTTTAATCTCAAGTGATATATTCGTCATCAATATTTCATGGCGATTTTCCACACTTGTGTGGGTTAACTGTTGATCTCATTCGAAATACTGTACCATTAAATTTAATTTCATACACCCAGTATATACTGTCACGTATTATCAAACACTGTAAACAGTTGTTTTGCTACCTTTCATAGTACACAAAGGACACGTTTTTTCTGATGTGTGACAGCACAAAGTTAAAAACAGAAATGTGTCTATGCAACATGAGCTATTCCTTATCACCCTATCAGAACAAAAGATATTAACATGCCAAATTGGCCCCAGTCATAATAGACCCAAATCTAACCAATCCCAACCAAACTATTAGGATTGGGGCTCAGCTCCAGCTACATTCCATTCCTAATGGGCTCCAATCCTATAAGTTACATGGCTAGGTTGGAGATTTTAGGATTGCAGCCTATTTGACCTGGAAGCCAAGATTATTCTAGTCTCCAATTCTATCCTATGGACAATTCATTACATCATATGACAATGTGCTACAAGGCCAAGGAGGAGATGGCACATGGCAGTGTAAGCTGTAGAGTGTTCCAGTAAAATTGCAGCTCCTTAAAATAAGAGACCATATATCAACCAAGGTCTAGTCCCCTTGCATTATCATAATCTATACAGTACAGTATACTGTACCTGAGACATAATGACCAGTTTTAAAGTTTTTCTTAAATTTTTTTCACTTTGATGAATACACTGGTGATGTGTCTCAAGTTTGTGTGAAAACAGCTTAAATTTGACAACCATGATAAATGTATGTTAGCACTGCAAATTACAGTCACGGTCATGAGTTTTGATTGCCTTGTCATTTGTAGTCCTACCATAAAATATGTACCTTAATAACTGTCCATGCAACAAACCTAAACACAGTTGTACAAAAAGGCAACAAATTTTAAGTCTGTATTAAATAACTTATAAAACTTAACAATCTTGTTCATTCCATTTGTTCCCCTCAATAGGAGTAGGAAAATGGATAGGCATTCTTAATGCTGAATTATATATATATATATATATATATATATATATATATATATATATATATATATATATATATATATATATATATATATATTATATATATATATATACCGTATAGTATAGTGATAATTCTGCCAGTGACATTAAACCAGGGTAGGCTTGTTACCTTTATCTTTTCAACTACAGGGTACAGTATCTACCACAAATTTATTTTTCTGTCTGTTTTACTTCCAATTATTTCTCAGGTTCTCGTGATTGCTGTAAGAGATATGAGTTGATTAATTGCTCATGATGGAGTTGACTGGAAGTTCGGTTCAGATGCAAGAATTCAAGTGTTGACAGGTGCAGTACCATTGGGAACATCGTCATCTGCAGATTCTACATCATCCTCTCTTTCACTCTCAAACTGTGTGAATGGGAGAAATACAAGCATCTTTACATTCAAAACACTATAGTGTATATAACAGTAAACTCTGTAAATCTTTGAAGTAAGTTATCTTATCTGGATTATGAGTGACCATAAAGTTGTGTCTCAGTAAAATCAGTCGTGCCAAAGAAGTCAATGGCTAAACCGCTTAAGCACATAAAAGTACAATACTGGGTATGTTACTAACTAGTACTCAAGGAACAGTAGTTAGAAATTCCCAAGTACTTTGAGGTTATACTGGTAGGGCATAGATAAAAACCCTCTTACGTTAAAACCTGGCATATCAGACTCAGAACACTTTTAAAACACACTGAGGTCAGACCAACTTTGAATTTTCTGAGAAGACATTACACTTTCTGTACCTCATTGGCACAAACAGCATGGCAATTTTGTGTGATTTGCTGTACAGTACATTGAAATTATTTGTATCAAGGCAAATGTGTCAAACAAAAAATTCTGTTCAGCTTTTATGTGGCATACAAATTAAGGCTAAGTATTCATCCTGGTGAGCAGTGCCGGATTAACCATGAGGCACTTGAGGCACTGGCCTCAGCCCCCCCCCCCACCCGACTCTAAGGGGCCCCCAAATCCACACATTCTCGAAGTTGAACCATATAAAACATGAACTTCGTTCAACGATGTCCTAGCAACGTCTCAATATTCTGTCTCTTATGAACATTGAATGTGTTATTTTGCAGAAGCTTAATATTGATGAAATCATTGATAAATTTTGGTATATTTTGTTCTTCATATATATATATATATATATATATATATATATATATATATATATATATATATATATATATATATATATATATATATATATATATATATATATATATATATATATATATATATATATATATAAGATAGACCCTAACTTACAATGACGTTTGGGACCCAAATCAGTTAAAAGACTATAGATAAAAAAATTTTTTTTTAATAAAATCTGCGGCGGTCGTAAGTCTGACGGTCGTAAGTCGTAGCAAGTAGAAGTCGGGTCTGTCTGTATATATATACAGTATACAGGTTGACAATCCTTTATCCGAAATCCTTGGGGCCAGAGGCATTTCGGTTTTCGGAATTTTTCGGTTTTCAGAATGGTTAATTTTTTTTTTTTTTTTTGTGTAGCCCACCCGGGCATAGATCACTGACCCACATTGGGGCCTGGGGGTCTAAATATAATAATAATAATAATAATAATAATTCATAGGTCTAGGTCGTGTTTCTCACTTTTGATCTTTTTTTCATTCTTGTATTTCTTTACTGTATTATTATTTTATTATTACAGTATTATTGTTATTATTATTATTAATTTTATTATTATATTTTATTATTATTATTATTATTATTGTAATCATTATTATTTTATTTTGGTGTATTATTAAAAATTTTATTTACTATGAATAATTATTATTATTATAATTATTATTACTATTACATTTTCGCCCCCCAGGCCCCGATGTGGGTCAGTGATCTGTGCCTGGGTGGGCTAATAATCCATGTCATATATATATATATATATATATATATATATATATATATATATATATATATATATATATATATATATATATATATATATATATATATATATACTCTATGAGTAGGGGGCTAGTTGATCTGTGCCTCAGGCCCTATTAAGCTTAATCCGGCCTGGTGGTGAGCCACTCCCCCAGGTGCCGGTTTGAACCTGTGGAGGCCATGGGCAGCCTCTTTGTGGAGGCCCCCCTCATTATAACTACCCAAGAGGGTGGGGTGGCGAGTGAAGCGAGCCTAAACATCTGGGAGTTCCGGGGGGCGCTGTAAGCCCCCCGGGAAAATTTTGAAATTTGAACACTTCTTTGGAGAATTTTGAAGCCATATGCAGTTATATTGAGGAAATTAGAACATTGAGAAATTTTTAATTAACTGTATATTTATTGATAGTGTACAAATTCCCAACACACACACACACACAAAAGTGAGACATGACTGGAGTCATTCATGTGGTTTCAAGTCGACCAGCCCTGATATAGCTACTACCGCACATGTCAAAAATAAACATGACTTTTAAAGAATGAAAATAAAAATAATCCAAATGAATAAACAAATAAATAAAATATTGTAATATGTGGAGGCCCACTTTGCCCACTCCTGAATCCGGTCCTGCCCCCTCCCCCTGTATCGTAAGGTTAATTCAGACCACCCCAAGCGAACCTTTTTTTTTTTTTGTTGTGGCAAGCACTATTTTCGGCCTAGCTCTATAAGGTAGGGGGGCCGGTGGTAGAAGCGGTACCGTTTTTGCCTCGCAAGCGAGATGTCACGGGTTCGATTCCCGGGCCGGTGAAAGTTGTTTGGACTTACTTCCTAGCCCCCATTAGTCCCTGTTCACCTAGCAGTAAAGTAGGTACCTGTTGTAAGTCGAAAGTTGCGAATTCGTATTCAGGGAAAGTTGTTGGAGCTTCCAATAACTTGATGACATAAACCACTAACTCTTCAGGCTTCTACGCCCTTGACTCTTCAGGCTTCTACGCCCTTGACTCTTCAGGCTTCTACGCCCTTAAATCGTGAGACATAAAGGCAAGCATGAACTTAGCATGCTTCCCTGTTGGGCGCTGTAAACACTTCTGCGCTTCACCTTACACAAGGATGTAGGGGTGTGCCCAATAAAAAAAAAAAAAAAAAAAAAAAAAGCTCTATACGATAGTAGTTGATAAGATCTCCTTGTTACACTGTAAATAAGGTTGAAAGCCCTTTGAAAATAAGGTAGAACATCGATTTGTGGCAGACAGGAAAGTATGGGCTTGACTTTCGAGTCATCAGGCGCTCTCGTCCCGTCAGCGTCAGCAAGTGAGTGAGAGGAGCGGACGGCCAATCACAACGGCTGGCCCATACCCTCCTCGGCCAATGATAGTGAGCGTCTGCTATCAACGTGACGTCACGCCCCTCCAACCAATGAGCGCAGAATCCCTCTCTTCCTCTCCCTCAGTTCTCTTTTGTTGTGGCGGGATCTACACTCTGATATCGATTAAAGTAAAAAAAGTCATAAGCATGAAATAATGTAATTGGAGATATTATTTGTCAGGCTGGTGAGAATATTCGGTATTATTTTCTTGTAGCTCCGTTCATTCCTACCACTAATCTATTATCATATTCGAATAAGACGTCTAATTATAAGATAATTTTCATCTATTACATTACCGGCGGAAACGCATAATAACGGAGATAGCTCTTCCAAAATTTGTTCTATTTTCTTCCATTAACATCCCACCATTATCATCTGCCTCTCCTCCAACACTGCGTGTCTCCTGCGTCCCCTTCATAAATCATCCTGCAGCCAATCAAAAGCCTTTTTTATTTTGAAACCAATTAAAATGTTTTTGGGTTTAATTCGCGGTATTTTTGGCCCAATCAAATTCGAGTATTCTTTTTGGTCTCTCATATTTTGACATTCATGTTCTTCCAACCTCAGTAAAGTGTACTAAGAGCAAGACTGAATGTAAATATCGCAAAGACTAACATATGTGACATTGTGTAAGAATCCCAGAATGCAACGACGAACAAGAACAAAGCCAATAAGGTAAGAAATAGGTGATTCCATCATATGGTGAGAGTCAGTTAAGTTAGGTCAGGTTAGGTTAGGTTTGGTAATTGTTTTTCTAGTGTTTTATTGTGTATTTGTTAGTCGCTTAAGCACTTTTTTTCCTCGGAAAACGTCAAACGAAAAAAAATCGCAAAAAAAAGGCTAATTTCCGCCAAAAAGGAAGGTCATATTCGGTCTCAGCACACACAAATACACTAGAAAAATATATTTTAAACTTGCTACAAGTGAACGGTGCTACAAGAAAAATTTACCGAATATTCTTAAAGATATTAGGCATATAGTTCGGTAGATTAATTAATTATTTTCTCAGTACTTGTGTAATAAAGTGAATGAACTTTCAGAGTACAGTATATTTTCAAGCACACAACAGGAATTGATACTGTTACTTTGGCATATTATGTAACACATCCTTTTTCCAGTATAGTACTAATATTTCAAGTATCTTGTCATATCCAATGCTGACCAAAACTGGGATTGACAGTTACAGAGGTAAGACAAGTGTATCACGTAAAACTGAACATCATCGGTGTGAGGGTAAGATAGCTGTACCAAACAACACTATCAAAACTGGGATGGGAGTGAGATAGTGTTGAGTAAGACAGCTGTACCTCACAATTACCTTAGCCTATTACAGAAGAGGCATTTCTGCCATTGAGAACTTTATAGTGCATGTACCAAAAGAAAACAAAAAGGTCTTTAAAAAATGCCTGTCCCTGCTGAGTTCCAAACCTAGTAAAAGTTAAAAATTCATCAAACATATACCAAGTTACAATACAGAAAGTACATCTATGAATAATAGCCCTTCAAAATGTGTGCCAATTTTCAGAATCTTTCATGTCAGACTGCAGGCGTTGATTTTTCAAAATTAGCACCCAATTTGGGACAGACAGACACTACTGATAAGAAAGATGGACGAACATGACAAATACAGTACTAAAAATTCAAGGTCAGGATGTGCAGCATTGTAATTTGGGAAATTTTTTGTTGGGGTTTAAGGACATAACACAGTGAAAGAGATACCACCAGAAGACAAAGATGAAGGAAAGGGTGAAGTTAACAGGCAGGCATACAGTGTATGCATGCTTACATCATGCATACAAACACTTGTAGATAATAACAACTATTCAATAGTGCATTAATGCATACACACTGAATATTAGAATTACTGTACACAACACAACGAAATGTACAAATTATAATCAATACTACAAACACAATCACCATTATTACCTCCACCACCATTATCACCTTGATCGATAATACCACCATCATCATCACCCAAGCTACCACCATCACTACCACTATACCAGCATCATCACAGGGGCAGTTCTATTGCACTCATGCGTTTTTGCATAGTAAAAAGTAATTATTATTGACCTCAGAATATCTC